AATGTCACTGCCATTTGCATGCACTGCACTTGACCCTTCAACACAGGAAATGAAAGGAGCGTCAACATCGCCGGGTTAAAAAATGAAATTACCCTTGGTTCAACCGATCACAGCTAATAAAAGCAGCTTAAGCAATGTTGTCAATCCGTAGAGAAAATTCCAAATTTGCGAGTGGGGTGCCCAGAAGTAGATATTCGGATGCAAATGTACAACTCTGTATACCATCTCAGTTTTCGCAGATGATGCTCGCCATATAGTTCGTTTTATTGACTGCAGCTATCGAATGCACCTAGCCGGGGCTTATTTTTGTGTGCAAAAGTTTGCGAGGATGAAAATAATTGGTTGTTTTCATGAGGTAAAAAGATTAAAGGGCTCCCTTTGATTCGAGGCATCATTGTGTTACGCCCGATTTAACGAGGCTAATCTCTATGAGTTTCGATATCTCAAGTATTGTGTGGAATACAGCATTGAAAAATGCACGTTACGGGTGCTGCGGGTGTTGTGCCGGTGTATTGATTTTACTATGAATTAGAAATTTTGTCCTAACAAGCAATTACTGTCTCCAACATCGCACTTGTGTTTTCTGGTTTAACTTTCTCAAGCACCAAAAGATCCGAAACTGAGCTACCATATCCGATTAACAAACAAGTTTCTAGTTGGGAGAAAATAATCGAATAAACATGTCATGTGGGTTGCGATCGATTATTCCCAGTCGTTCGGGTAAAAAGAAACTTGAGCTCTTGAAGAGAATATTTTCGGAGAGAGTCTTTGGCCAATTTGTGACAAGAAATATTAGTGTTCGAGTTTTATTGTTGCTTGGTCTCTAGTATACGTTTAAGAACAAGTTGTTTGTTTGCGATATCTGACTCGTTTTTGTACTTACACAGGCCGTGAACTCATATATTTCAGTCCATCAATTCTAAGTTCAAAACATTAACATAAACATAATAAAATTCTGTTCAAAATTTTACGGACTCTTGCATAGAATCAGAGAAAAAATCAGTAAAACTTTTAAACAAAAATGCCCACCGGTAAAAATACAATTTGCGAGTGAAAACCAGATTATACGGATAATGTCATTTGGTATTCTTGCCATTTAACCAGTGTTAATTATAAACGCTTAAGAGCATTCCAATGTCGCTGACCTTGCAAACATAAACGATCATCTAAACTAGTTTCACCTCTACTCCCAATAAACTATGAATTCAAGACGAAAATTACCGTCGCAAAGTTTACTTTTTGCAAAGAATGTACCTAAGTTGCACAATGCACAATCCCAGCAACATTGAAATGCTCTTAGTTCCTTTTTGCAAAATGCGATCCAATTGGTTGTTGCTGCAAAAAAATAGTTTCCCACAACCTGCTATACAATGCTCCAGTGACCATGGAAGTTGGCCCGAGCACTAACTTTTCGGGAAGAAAGCCTCTCCCCTACCTGCTTTCTGCTCACTTAATATCCGCCCGAGTTTCGCATATCTTCCGTTTCTCCTCATCGCAGCTTCCATCAAACCGCAATTGCCCGGAAACTTGGACCGCACATCTTATCTGATAAAATCGTTCGCCCTTTAGACCGATTCTGGGGGGGGGTTAGGCTAGACTTGTCGATGAGTCAACTGTTGATCTAATTTCATTACGTGAACGTAGAAGAAAAACGGGGTAAAAAATCACTAATGTGTGATCAATTTTCAAGGACAATTCTGTAATTTCTCCTACGATTTTAAATAGATTAAAACGCGTAATATCCAAAATCTAAGCTCAGATTCGGATTTCTCGTGAAAAACTGATGAGATTTCATGCATCAAATTTTAGAATAGCGTGAAGGAAAGAGGTTTAATGACGTAAAAAAACACTAATGTTTGATCAATTTTCAAGGACAATTCTGTAATTTCTCCTACGATTTTAAATAGATTAAAACGCGTATTATCCAAAATCTAAGCTCAGATTCGGATTCCTCGTTAAAAATTGATGAGATTTCATGTATCATATGTTAAAATAGCGTAAAGGAAAAAGGTTTAACGACGCGTATAGATTCTGTCATACTACCCGTTTGAACTACGCCGCCGCGCGGGTCGCCCGAGTGAAACCGAGCGGGGAGGCGCTAACATTCAGTTTCGTCGCGAGGAATTCCTCACGATAAATTCTTATTCTTCCTCCTCCGCTGACCTACTGAGCACTACCCATGTTGCCACGTTGCATTCATATGCTCGAATCAGTATGTCTACGTTACGTCTCTTTCCTTCACGCTATGCTCGGGTATGATACATGAAATTGTATCAATTTTTAACGAGGAATCCGAATCTGAACTTCGATTTTGGGTATCACGCGTTTCAAGTCAAATTTTCCAAATTCGAAAATCTGAAATGACTGACGTGGCTTAAAATGCCATCTCGGCTCCTGTTCGATGGATTTTCCTGAAATTCGGTGTCAGGGTATGATACATGTAATCGCATCGATTTTTCACGAGGAATCCGAATCTGATCTTCGATTTTGGGTATCATGCGTTTTAAGTAAAATTTTTCAACTTCAAAAATCCGAAATGACTGAAGTGGCTTAAAATGCCATCTCGGCTCCTGTTTGATGGATTCTCCTGAAATTCGGTGTCAGGGTATGATACATGAAATCGCATCGATTTTTTACGAGGAATCCGAATCTGAACTTCGATTTTGGGGATCATGCGTTTTAAATCAAAATCTGTCAAAATTCAAAAAATTCAAAATTCGAAAATCCGAAATGGCTTAAAATGCTATCTCGGCCCCTGTTCGATGGATTTTTCTGAAATTCGGTGTCAGGAGGTATTTTTCGACGGGAAACTCGAATTTTTAGTCCATTTTTTAAAATTCTCAAATTCAAGATGGCGGACGTGGCCTAAAATGCTATGTCGGCTCCTGTTCTATGGATTTTTTTGAAACTCGGTGTCTGAGGGTATTTTTCGACCGAAAACTCGAATTTTTACTATGTTTAAAAATTCTCGAATCCAAGATGGCGGACGTGGCCTAAAATGCTATGTCGGCTCCTGTTCGATGGATTTATGGCGCCCCCTTACTACATGCCTACTCTTGTATTTCTGTACAGCCGCAAATTTAGGGTCAAGGGGCGCCTGACCGTCTATGGACCAGGTGGAGTTTTTGTCCTGAAAATTTACCTTTAGACGGCAATTCTCTTTATATTTTGTCTATGGTTTTTATGCCCCCCCCCTTTCTCGTGGACTCTCTTTTCACTTTTCTTGCCTCCTTTTTCCTTCCATTTCCCCCCTTCTTCCTTGCTTTCACTGCCCAACCTTGTTTCCTTTTCCTTTTTTCCCCTTGTCCTTTCTTCCCTTTTTTTCCTTTTCCTTTTCCTTTTCCCCCCTTTTTTCCCCTCTCTTCTTCTTTCGTGGCGCCCCCCAAAGGCTGGCGCTCGTGTGCGCCGCACGCCCTGCACACGCCCTAAGTCCGGGCCTGACGCTTACATCTTGTTTAAGAGTTGATTTCCAGAATTCCCGTTGTGCGATTTATTTTCCCCGTGCAAATTTAAAGATAAAACACGTGGCAGAGTGATTTAATTCATACCTTGTCTGGTGGCCCTTCACAAAAAATAAAACTTGTCATTGATGATAAGGTAACTTTCTTTAAGTTTAAAAAATACTCAGTTTATTGAAACAAATTATTTCATGAAACAAAAATTGTGTTCTCAAGCGAAATGAATTCGTCATCTTAAATTAGTTTTCGACGGATCTAAGATAATTTGTTTACACTCATAAGGATGTTCCTCAATCATTTTTATTTGGTGAAATTAGAGTCCCTTTGTAGAGAGAGTTGAGACAACGCGACTTATGGATATCGCAAACGGGAATAAAGATCACAAAAATCGGACTTTTTTGTAATCTTGGCTAAACCCATCCTCGAATTCCTATCTCCGTCCCCCTCTCATTCCATTTGTTCCTTGCCGTGCCCCTAACTCCCCGGTCCATTCCAGTTCATAATTTTTGCAATTGTTGAACATGTAATCTTTATTCCCGTTTGTGACACTATGGAGGCCTAAAACACGGGAACCAATCATAAATGGATTCAAATTATCTTTACTCTCAGTGGATTCAAATTGTCTTTAGTTTCAGTATAAAGGGCCTGTAGGTGAAATTAGAGCCCCTTTATATTGAGAGTAAAGACAATTTGAATCCATTTCTGATCCGTCCCCTTATTTTAGACCTTCACAGTGTCACAAACTGGAATAAAGATTACATTTTCACCAATTGCAAAGATTATAAAGTAGAATGAAGCAAGGAATCGGGGGTACGGTAAGGAACACATGAAATCAGAGAGGGAACGGAGATAGGAATTCGGGAATGAATTGATCAAAGATTACGATTAACGTCCGATTTGTGTGATCTTTATTTCCTGTTTGTGACATTCATAAGTAGAGTTGTCTCAACTCTCTCTACACTGAAAAAAAGCTCTCGGCGTTTTTACCACGGTCCGTTGGTACCTTTACCATCTCACTTTTTTTACCAATTATTGGTAATTTTACAAAGACTGACTGGTAAGCTTACCTAAAAACCGGTATTTTTACTAGTTTTCTTTTCAGGTAAGAATACCACTTTCATTGGTAATCAATTCTCGGCAACGTTGCCATTTTATCTCGGTAATTCTACCACAGTCGATAAAAAAATATTGGGGTTTTACCAAGGTCCAGTAAAATTACCGAGAAAGTTCAATAATTTTACCGAGATTTCTCGGTAAAATTACCAATTCCATACATGGTAATTTTACCAAGAAAAAAATGGGATTAAATAGAACCCTGAATTCTTGGTAATTTTACCCTTTTCTTAGTAAATACACCGAGATTTTTTTTTTCAGTGTATAAAGAGACTATAGATGAAATGGACTGCATTTTGCAATTTGGAACTATAAAGTCTTGCTAATCTGAAAAAACACTTGTGTGCATAGGGAAACTAATGGCACTTACGTTGTTTTTAAACCGGGCTAGAATTTATAGTTCCTAATTGCAAAATGTAGTCCAATAAAGGCTCATGGATAGTACGGGAAAGGGTGGAATTTGTTCTTCTCGGGTTTGACGGAGACGGCGGAGAGGGGTTTGGGGTCGGGCTTGCACTTGTCTAAGAGCTCCTCGAAAAGGGACTTCTTGTCGAGGCGCCAGCGGAGGATATTGAGTTTGAATTGGCGCGGTTTGGCTTTGGCCGGTGTCATCCCCGCTTCGACATCCGTGTCCTCCGGCTCCGGCGCCGGAACGGTCTCTGGGTCCAGTTTCCGGTTCCGATATTTGACCAGTCGTTTGATGGACCGGGCCACGAAGTAGAGCACTTCCGCCACGCTTATTAGGCTGCAGCCCAAGAACAAACTCGCCACGCCGCCAAACGATACTGCAAAGTAAGAAAAAGGAGCCCACATTTTGGGTTAGTAGATCGGAAGCAGAACACAAATTGGACCGCGTTAAACAGAAAGGAACCATGCCATAATATCAGCTATCGCCAAATTTAATTGGGCACACTGGAAAAAAAAAAAAAAAAAAAAAATTGGATCTAGAGTCCAGACTCTTGAAAACATTGACAAGAAAAAATACTCTTAATTCAATCGGATTTTTGCTTGAATCAAAACGAAATCCGCTTAAATTAAGAGGCTTGGTTCTTGATTTAAGCTAGATTCTGATTGAATCAAGAGTACTTCTTCTTGTCGATGTTTTTAAGAGTCTGGATTTTAGATCCGATGTGTTTTTTTCCTACTGCACGCAATTTTTTTGCATGAAAACGGTTGTGCGGATTTTCGTGCCAATTTCAGTGAATTATCTCCTTAGTGCGAAGCAAATTCCTTAAAATTTTCAAAGGATCTACACAAACGTTCTCTCGTAAAAAATTAAATTGCCCAGTCAAATTTGGCAATAGCTGATGTGGCTTTGTCCAAACAGCAACTTCCTACGTTCAATAGTTTCAGTGAAAACCACCGAGTGAACTCAATATGAGGATACACTAGGTTTATAAATTAAACAATTATTGGAGGAGATATGACAAAATGATCTGATCTGCTAAGGATATGGGTTTGAATGAGAGATGCCGCTAGATGACGTTACTGGGCGGTGCATTTTCTTTCTTTCATATCTATTTTTATACTATTTCCCATATCAGAAAAAATTATAAAAATACTACGAACCCAGCTCTTTAGGGACTCTCGGATGAAGCGATACAACATTTGCGTGCAAATTCTTCAGTATAGGAACTACAATTACTGACTCATTTGTAAAAGCACTTTTGTGAGTAAAGCACTAATGTGAGCGACACCTCATTGGCAGCATAGAGCGGAGCATTGCGCGTTCACGCCTCGCGCGATAGCGCCTTCAATTTTGTGGACGCAATGTGGACATCCATCAAGTACGAATAGTTGTATCTCTGCGCCGTCGCTACCGCGCGACCTTTCCCTCGCTCTGTTTCCTCATTATATTTCTTTTCGTTTGTCTTGTAAATAAAATTCACAAAATTGCAACTGTTTCATTTAAGTACCTCATTTTAAGTGACTCTTTTGTTTAGAGTGAGGAGTTCTTTTCCTATTCATTAATTGGCTGGGTAAGACGCGGCTCTTTATTGCTCATGTCGTAAAAAAGACTATTTTGTTTGTTTGGTGTATGGCAGAATTACTCAAATGAATTTGCTTGAATTTCTTCATATCCTATTGAGTGACGAAGAAACTCATTGATAACCAGAGGTTGGTCCGTACCCACCGGTGAAAATGGCATCTAAATATTTAACTTTCAGTGTGCTATTATGTCAACGGTCGTATCTTTAATTATCTGAGTGAGGTTGCAAGCCTGAGGAAAAATTTATTGAGGTCTTTGACGGTGCTTTCAATTATCAATTAATTATCAAAGACGCGGCGTCGACTTGATGAGAATATTAATCAAATTTCACTTCGGCTTGGTACGCCACAGCTGTTGGAGACAGGTTCAAAGCACTCGAAACTCGCTACTAATTTTTCAACATGAAAGAAAAAAGAGAGAAAAACAATACCTATCACATAGTATAGCTGAAAATATCAAACTTCGTCAAGATCACCTTTGTTGATTACTTTTTTTTATCTTTTTTTTTAAATCAAGATTTGCTCTGGAAAAAAAGGATGAAATCAAAGAGTACAAATCTACATTGTTCAGTCTCTCAAAGTTTATTATTAATCAGTCGCGTTTGAATTTTTGATAAAAAATAAAAAAATATAATAATGTCGATAAAGTTTAATGGTGTTATTAATGGTGTAAAACTGTAATCCTGAAATCGGTTGAAATTACTACTCCCGTTTACTGTTTCGTCTGAATTTTTTATAAAAAATAAAAAAATGTAACAATGTCGATAAAATTCAATGGTGTTATTAATGGTGTAGAACTGTAGTCCTGAAATCAGTTGAAATTACTGCTCCCGGCAGTAATTCAGTCAACACTCCTATCTAGAGGCTAGGCAGAATTATTTTCAGGTTGGCCTCAATTTTTTTGAAGTTGAACCCATTTCAAATTTTCCTCGTCGAAAATTCAAAAGTGCTAGAGCTGTGAACGTCTGTAACTTCATGAATTTCTAAAATTAAGAGATCCGAGAAAATTATTCAATGCGGAAACTAAGACCCGAGTTTCGAGTTTTCGAGTTATAAAGTGAGTATACTTGTCAACAAAGGGTATGAATTATTCCGAAGAGAGCCAAACTGAGGTCAATCCACACGTGAGCATTTTTTAGAGAGAAACGTAGTTTAATAGCTTACCCATTAGATCTCGCACATCAAGCTTCAAAAATCTCAAATAGCTAATCGCATACAGGTCTTTATACTGCACTTCAAAGTACACTTGATAATCCGAGGTCTGAAAAAAGTCCCTGAAAGAATACTGCCGCCTTAAAATATACACAAATCAATTATTAAAATCAACAAATCTACGCTAAAAAAGGAAGGAACACATACTTAAAAAAACCATTTTCACCTCTTCGGCTCGAGTTAGAGTAAAATCCAACGATTCAGTTGCGCTGGTCACAGAATCGTGTTTCGATGCTTAATTCTTGTGGATTAGCTAAAAATAATAAAATCTGCCCAAGCAGCATCTCTCTACGCATATAGCGCTTTAAAAAAATTGGTTTAATGACGTCATCCACCGCGGTAGTGGCACCCTTGGTTTCTTCCACCTTGCTTTTATTTGTCAGGGAGACATACGTTTTCACTGATTACTCAGTGTGAAACCGGGATGAAAACAGGGTGGAAGAAACCAATGGTGTCACCACCGTACGGTGGATGACGTCTTAAACCGAATTTTTCAAAGCACGATATCTCTTTTAATATTGAACGTAGAAAGTTGCTGTTTGGGCAGATATTGATTCTTTTAGCTGATCTACAAGAATCAAACATCAAAACACGATTTTGTGCCCAGCGCAGCTGACCCATTGCTCAGTTTGATAGAACTTTGTTTCGGTTTGCATAATCTTTATGTTTTCACTTATTTCAATTACCTCGGAAAAGGATAAGCTGATTCATGATACGTTTTAGGAGTTAAAAACTTTAAGTATACATCGATTTAATGAAATTGGATCGAATGCAGTATATGAATGATACTTTTCATTAATTTTTATCTGAAAACTTGAAATATATATTCTACATAGAAGTAAGTATGGTTCAGACATAGATGGAAATCTAATTAAGCCGTGGAGGGTTAAAATAAAGGTCAATCAAATTTCCAGAATGGTTTTCGTGACATAAAGTCAACTTACGCAAATGTGTGACGTATTTCTGTTGTATACGTTGTGAAACTGCACGGCGTTTTACAATGGCAGTTCATGTACACAGGCAGACTCCAGTCCGGGAAACCTGGTTCCCCGCTTGGTGCCATCGAATTTCGTTGAAGAACTAAAATAAAATAAAAAAACAAAAATGTATGTGTTCAGGACTTGAAAATCTTCAATGAATATTTATCTGATTTGGCTCAACTTAAAATCAACGTAACAATTCAAGGTTATCAAGTTAGTTGCGTTCATGTCGATACGATGAAAGTTCGTGCGAAACCACATATTTCCGTTCGCGACGTCGTTAATCTTCTGTCTTATTTCATTTTTCATTAGGAAGATCATCAGATTGTTTCAATTGGATTTTTCTCCATTCTATCAACAATATCCTGTGAAAATTTCTCAAAAATTTCAATTGGAGTTTCTCCATTCTATCAACAATATCCTGTGAAAATTTCTCAAAATATTCTGGCAGTTTTCTCTTGAAAAAACATATCAGCGGAAATTTTCAAAAACCGCAATCAAGATTCGCGGTTTGGTAGTTCCACCATCGGTGTTTTTTTGTACGCGTGAAAAACATCCGATATTCATTTCTTCAGTACAACTGAAAACTACGCGATTCAGTTCACAGGTTTGTCGAAGGGTAAATATGCAGAATAACTTATCGGAACATTTAGTGTGACGTGATCTAAAAGGATTAAGGGAAAATTTTCTGTTTGTAACACAATTTTGAAAGCTACTCTAAAAAAGGTTGATCGGAGGACCTAATAGTTATGACTTTAGAATACGGCTGACAAAAATTACGGTGCAAGTAATGTAAATCCGGAGCAAGCACATATTCAGCATAGCATATTCAGGGGTTACAAGCAACTATTCGAGCCGATAAGAAATTTGGTTGCATATTTAATCGAAATGAAGGCGTTTCGTTTGCGTTGATGTAATTCTTACTCATTATCCTTGGTTGAAGACTTCGCTCCTAAGAAACAATGCTACATACAACATTTGGTGAGTATATATTGCATGTATCACATTCTCGCTTACATTGCGGTATATTTTTGCTTCTTAATTATCCAGAGGATTCAGACTAGAAAGAGAGTAACACTGCCTCCCTCTAATTTTTTCTTTTAAGGGGCTAATACTTTTCTCTCGAATATTTTTCTTGCAAGATTGTTCAACAGCCTAAGCTTCCTGAACACACGTTTGCCAAGAAATTTATCCTATGATAAATGTGTGTAGTTTCTTAGTTTCATACTAAAATACTAATAAAAAATTAAGAAACCGCAAGCACACTAGATCGCCAGATTGTAGTGTCAACAACGGTCTCCCAATCTCTCTTCCGCAATCGGTCTCGGAACAACATCAACTGATCCCGTAATAGAGTGTCAGAGAGTATTTTCTAAAATTGTGGTGCCCCAAGTTGTTGGATAATATGGGCATTTTCAGTTAATTGTGGTAGCACCGTCACATTTGGGTCAGTAACTTAATTTATTGGGGCACTACCACAATTAATCGGAAATGCTCTTATCATCCGAAAAGACAACAACCCCTACCTCTTTTTTTCGGTGATGAAATTGTGCCCCAAAAACAACTTCAAAATATTAGCATTTATAATAATAAAAAAATAACTAGAGGATTGTTCCACAATACGGTTTTTGGGGGAATGGAATCAAACAAAATTTCTGCATTTGCAAAAAGGAGCACAAAAAGACCCTCTATTTTGATGGGCTGCTTATTTCCTCTTTTGCCCTGAACTCTTTCGATGAAATCCCTCCAATTTTAGCTTCATAGCCGATTAAGTTAGATGGTTAATTTTCTGCCAGTGTTGTTCTTTGTTTCTTTGTTCGCGTAATACCCATCCGTAATTTTACTTTCAAAATTTTGCTAACTTAACCCTCTTAGTAACATCGGTGGGTCAAAATCAAAAATAAAATTAGGGAAACAAAACTCGAGATCAAAAACCGGTGGGGATTTTGCAGGCTGGCAACACGGTTTTTCTCCCATTAAAATACATTGAAAATATCGATTTCAGGATCGATTATGTAACCTACATTACAATAGATTGTATTCGATACATCAAACAGGTGAGATTGTATCGATATCGAGGCTCCAGGACATTTCGTCAACGATTTTTTGTCCGCGCACCTGTTTTGTCCAGTAGTTTACGCCCACGCATAAAATAAGCAACTGTGACTTGGTCCAAGCATTATATTTTAGTCCGTATGTAAAATCATATTATTGAGACTATCGAAATGAGAAAATTGAGAGAGAAGAAGGTGTTGTTATGGTGACTAATTTTTTAAATGAAATGTTACTTTCTCCTTTTGATTCATCTTTTCAAATTGTCATTGGTGAATATTTGGTTTTATTTCTATCCTAAATATTTTTGATATGAAGTATACCTTATGTACACATTTATTTAATGAAAATATTACTTCATTTTAAAAACATTTACATTTTCAAAACGTGGCAAGTACTTTCCAAGAGATGGGATTGATATTAATATCATTTAGCCGCAGTGGTGTTGAAACTAACTGTACAAAAATGAATAAAAGAGGAAAAAAACCAAGAAGCTCGTGATCATTGACATTTTAACATCGTCCTTTTACAGTCAAATGCGTCCAATTTTAAGCGTTTGGTTACGAGTGCAGCACAGTAAAAGCTCAAAATATAAAAGAAAAAATTAAAGTACTTTGTAAGTCATTTGACTCGGAACCACCTGAATATTTACAAAACACACATTATATTTTCCTTTACTTATTTTTTCCATCGATTTAAATGAAAATAATCCACGCAGAGAGTGGAAACATCTCAAAATCACGAGTTGAAAAATCCGCGAACCGAAATCCTCGAGTTTAAATATTAGAACCGAACACAGAGCGAAGCTGCCTACAAACCTAAGTGGATACTTCACGCATTGCGGAATGCTTGAAGTATCCACTTAGGTTTGTAGGCGCCAATGCACGGTGCGTGTTGACCGCTTTACCGCCGCGCCGAGCCGCAGCGTACCACGGCGCCTTAAGCAACTATTTCACAACAGAGGTGTTGCACAGTATCATACGAAATTGAAGGCGCTCCAACAAATTAAGGATGACAGGCATCTTTTAAGAGTACAGAGCTTTCCTCCCAAAATAAATCAAGATACTCCGGCTCGAAAAGAGAGCTGTAGTCCAAAAACTCAGTAACTGTTAGCATCCGTATTTAATGACGTTTAGCATAATTTTTTAATCTCATTAGAGGAGAAAGTGACTCAACATAGGCAGAAACATTCTTGAGTATGCAGTCAAGAAGATTTGATTTTAAATCAAGAAGAAAGTAGTTGAATGAAAGCGGATTTCTGTTTGATGTGACTTTTTCTTTTTATGTAAGCATCTTTTCTTCTCTAAACAAGCATTATTTTCTTTATTGATTTATGAGAAAATTCTCTTGGAGGTAAATTCGAGCTTATTCCTGCTTGAATCAAGTCACTTTTTCCTCTTATGAAGTTCAAAAATCATGCTAAACTTTCTTGAATACAGATACTAGGACTTACATGTATTTACATTTGGACTTGTTAACTTTGGGTCTCTATTGGTAAGTGGACCAAAACTCCCCTGCCGAAAAAACGTGTGGACGTTAACTACTAGAAAAAACAGGTGCGTGGACAAAAAATCGTTGTCGAAATGTCCTATGACCGTATCGATTGGTTCAACATGTGAACATAACCTCGAAAGTCAATTGAGTAATCTAGGGGAACGGGTTTCTTGTGATAGATTTGTTATTCTCTGAGTATAAAATGGCAATGAAAAGTGAAATCGCTAGGAGTTTCCTCATCTTTAGCTTTCCCCCTTAAATCCTGAAATTATCGTTCGAGATTACGTCCTATTATTTTGAACCAAACAATACATATCGAATACGATCTATGGAGAAAAAACAGTATTGCCAGCTTACAAGAATCGCCACTGCAAAAAACAGAGTTTCAGGCTTACGAAATATTAAAGAAAAAATGAAAGATCGTCGAGCAGTGAGGAGCGGCAACCTTGTGACGAATAAACGTATTTCTATCAAACGAAACTATGTACATTAAGACATAATCCCTGAGTCCATAAGGATATATGCTTAACAGGGCTCACGTCATAATGCACAAAGTTCCGTTTGACAGAAATACGTCCAAAGAAAAGTATTTCGAAAACATATTTTTTTTAACGTATGCTCAAAATGTGATATGTTTATCTCCTTCCTCTAATTCAAAGTTTACTTACGTAAAGGAAAAGCGAACTTAGTACCATTTAAACTGCGGGCTCCATCATTCATCTTCGGCCGAGCAACTATTCGAACGCCGGAGTACCCGAGATTGCCTACTCAATCATTTGAAGGCGTTTTATACGGTGTGATCCGCCCTGTAGGTTGTAGTCGGATACAATTCACGTTGAACAGTTACTTTATGAGTCTTATTTCAGCCCTTTCTTTCCCGGCTCTTTCTCAACTCAGAGTCACATCGTGGCACGGAAATACCACTCAGAGAGGTTGAAGAATCTTGAAAAATCTGACAAAACAAGGAAATCGACCCAGTAGGTTTCTAAACGGACGTATTTCTATCAAACGGAACCATGCACATTAAGACATGAGCCCTGAGACCCATAAGAATACATGTATAGCAGGGCTCACGTCATAATGCACAAAGTTCCGTTTGACAGAAATGCGTCCAAATAACACGCGACTCAATGCGCTGCGAATGCAACCCGGTTAACGGGGCCTAAGTAATCAGCGTATGTGTTTTGGCAAGCTCGGCCGATTGATCTGAGGCTTACAATTCGGCGAACGTGTGAAGTCCCTTGTTTGTCATTCGAAGCGACCGGAATATCTCTGCCGGGTTAAGGAAGAACGCCGTGTGAACATTCACGAGTTGCCAAATTTCCCTCGATAAAATGTTTATTTTTGAGGAAAGTTTTGAATATTTTTCCTTGAAATTTTCAGAGACTTCAGATGAAATTGCGAAAAAAATTATCTGGAAAATTAGAAGGAAAATATTCATAAGTTAATCAGGAATTTCGTACTTTATCAAAGGAAATTTGGCAACGCCTGAAGGTTCATACGGCGTTTTTCCTTGGCACGGCGGAATATCTGATCTGCGCGTTAGGAGCTTCCTCATCCATAGCTCTGCCATACATCGCATCGGCTAATTCCGATCTCCGGTCGGCAACGCACACATCCTCGCCCCCGTGACTTAAGAACGAATCCACGTGAGCTCCGAGTTCCATATAAGCCCGTGCTTTCTGGGGCTCATGCGGAATTCGCGATACGCCCTTACGTCAGAGAAGCGACCCTGTCCGGATTACTCTTTTACGTCACGAGACTTCAATGCACGAGGGTTACATTCCGCAACTAAGCCGATTTCAGCATGGCGCATGCAACGATAATGGAAGTCACTGCGAAGACCACTCTCATATCCTCGATAAAATAAAGGGAAATGTTATGCTTTGCATCAAATATTTTTAATTGAAAGACAGATTCCGAGGATGGCATGCGTATTGTCGAGACGCGGTGAATAGTCAGTTGCGCTGGTTAAAGAGCCTTGTCTCGATGTGGGAGTTTCTGTGAACTACCAAATTAAAACAAGTTCCTATATTCATCTATATTGGAAGGAAATAATGAGCGCCAAGTCTCTGCGTTCAGTACTAACAATGATATTTCCTTTTGAGAGACGCGGACGATGACGTCATTCATCGCGATTGTCATCTCATGAACGATGCTTGATTTACGATCACTGATTGATGAGACTAAATTGGGAGAAATATCCAAGCTCTTAATTATTTTTTCAATAAAAATGGGTAAGAGAGATTACCTACTCATATAAACTGTCCCTATTCCTTCATTCTTCCGTCTCAAAATTGTAAATTTTCCTAAATTGTCTCTTATAAAATCTTCCAAATTTTTTTCAGCCTTGAATCCATATTAGCCTTTAACATTTTGAGATAGAATTTTGCTCACAGAGAAACTGAGGCGGTCAAAAATAAAGAACGTGCGAACATGCAATGATAATGCCAAATAAGTGTGTCTCGTTATAGTTCCCGGTGAATGTAGCTAAATCAAAACGCGAATCAACTGCAAATTAGAAAAAATATCGTCAACAAACGAAAAGACATTAACGATATGTAGAGCAGAAACGATAATTAAGCATTCTCAGGATAGTGAAGTGTGTCAGGAGATGTGTAACGTCGCAAATTGAGATACATGGTTTGGTAATTTCACCTTCACTATCGAATTTTTCTCCGTTTCCTTAAATTTGTCAGCCGGTGGATGCGCGAAAGGAGGCAAAGTTCATCATAGCGCCTGGATACAACTATTCGTGTTCTAAGGATGCGCGTGTTGCATGAAAACAAATTGAAGGCGCCCTGGTGTTTCTTGCTCGCACCGAAATGCGCGCAATGCGTCGGTTTGCGCTGCGCGCCGCGCCGGTGCTAATTTTTATTGATCTCAGCCGTAGTTAAAATACGAAATCATGGATCTATGAAACTGCAAATTTTTTGGTCTGAAAATTGTCCCTCATCGTTGTTCATTTTTTCATGAAAATACATCTCGACTTTTTTGCACATCTATGGCGATTGGTGAGTCCAAACGCTCAGACAAATTATATCAATCCATTCACTTTTTATTTTTTTATTTTTTTTACCGAGCTTTAAATAGCCTAATTGGCTAATCCCACACTTACCACCAGCCCCAGGTGACCATTGTCTGAAACCGTCATTTTGTTATTTCAAAAGTCTTCAAAAAAAGATATGTCATGCGTAGCTACTCCATTATTTTCAACTCATGAAAGAGACTGTTTATAATACTCTGTTGTAAGCGAAACTAGCTTATGGTAACCTCTTATTTACGCCGTGGTTATAAAAGAATGCTCCCTTTCCACTAACCAGGAAGGAGCTCCGTGGTGACTGTATAGCCATGGAAGTCAACACAGAATGTGAGAAGTAGTCAAACAAAAACTGTTTAAATGCACAATTAGGCAACAACAAATACACAATTTAAGCTAGAAGTACAAGTTTCATGTGCAGCATTGCCACATTTAACGGGAAAATTCGCCTCCAATACACTAGACTTCACGAAAAATTGAGACAGGTCTCCCTGAATTGGCGACACTGTAAGCAGATTAAATTTTTGAGGCATCTCCTGAGCTGAAATGCAGGAGTATAAACGGCGTTTCTATAGAGGATTTCCATTTGAGTAGCGTGATTTTTGTCTAACACACCAGTGGGCGTTAGAGTCTTTTCACCTCTGGATTAACAACGGGAGGAGTGCCTCCTTTAGTCAATAATGCTCAAGATTCAAAAGCTCTCAAAACCACATCTCTGCTAATTTAGGAGCTAGTAGAATGAGGAGTCCTCGGTCGATGAGAGAAAGATTAAAATAGCTGTTCTGGCCGAACTGTGCTAGGAAGCGTCCTGGGGTAAAGCGGGGAATATTTCCTCACTTTCTTAATATTGTGCAAACGCAAGTCCTTGTTAATTTTATCTCCGAAACTTTTAACCCTTCTAAAAGTCAGGAAACCTCTCATTTATCTCTCCTTTCTTTTCTCATGAACTTAACAGTTCTAGTCTCTTTCAAGTATGACGTTATTGCAGAATCCAGATATTGAAATCCTTTTTCGGCGGAAACAATATACATCAATGGCTAAAGTTTTATAATGCTTATTTTCATCGCAACATTTAAAAAATGTTCAAATATAGCATATTTTGTGAAACTAAGATACCAGTATCAGTCTATCATTTACTGAGGATGATGTTGATCGATGGAAGAAACCTCACTGTCCGAGAAAATTTAAAGAAGAGCGGTTGGGTAGTTATCTTAAACAGAAAAAAATGAACGGAGACTTGCAAAGTCGAAGTCAAAGATGCAATTATTTTTTTTTACTCATCGGTATAATGATTGTAAAAAAAAAACGTAAATAATTTTTATTTGTGATAATTTGGGGTAATTTTTTGAGTCACTAATGGTAAAACCAGTGCACTTTTAAATAAGAGACAGGATTCTTTCGTGGGTGGAAGGAAGGGTGAAGAATTGCTCCGCTCAGCGAAAATCCTGTGTAATTATTAATCATTTTCCATCATCAATTAAAGACAAAATGATCAATGACAACGACAGCCAATGACATCACAGACTAAATTACAGCTGTGGTCACATGGTAAGTGTGAGACTTACCGTTGATATCTTTCAAGCACTGAACGTGTTGAATCCCGCATTGAGGCAACCCAGCTGAAATATGTAAGACGGTATCATTAGAACATCACTTACAGAGAAACTAATTGAATCCGGTTAGTATGAGAGATAAAATGTTTGTGTTCAATTTGATTCGGGCGAGGCGAGATAATTAGAGCATAGTTTCCAATATGAAATACTTTTAGGATGCTACGCATACGCGTACTTACCTACTTCTGGACGCAATTATTTGGGCGGCGTCAGATAAACTATTGACCCACTCATTTGAGCTTAGACCCAATTTCAGTCATTCCGGTCACTACTCCTCATACAGTGGATGTTACGATAGAGAGCAATCCTAATATGAGTTGTATGCATTGTTTATGTGCGCGTGACTTGTCACATGCTAGTGCCTTCGTCACTTTACGTGATCTTAAACCCGTGTGAGTACATTCCCCCTGTAAGTTCCTTTTTGTCAAAAAGCGCGATTTAATCAGTCCTGACTATGATACGACAAGTAAGGAAGAAAAGGGAATATAAAAGTTTTTACGACCATGTTAAAAAGTAAATAGATTGTACTGAATTTTAATACGATAAGCAACACCTAGACCTTATGGGATAATACAACTCATAGGCGTATCCAGGGGGAAGGCGTAGGGGTCGTGCGCCCCCCCCCCCCCGNCCCCCCCCCCCCGGTTATTCGAAAAAAAAGGAAGAAAAAAGGAATGCACGAAAAAAACAGGAAGTAAATACGCTTACATTTGGCAAATATTAATGACGAAATTGACGCAAATTGCAATTGGATGCTTCAAAAATTAAAAAATTTTCTCGGAGAGGCTACCGGACCCCCCCCCCNCCCCCCCCCCCCCTTACACCCCCTTCAAGGTGTCTGGATCCACTTATGAAACCACTTTATTTGGAAACAATCCAATTGAATTTCTCATGTAAGCGTCGAATTTATGATGGCAGGAGTGATGGTCTTTGTTTCAAGATTTTAAATCGCAGTCCATAGTTTATTGACCGATCTGCAGTTTCGTCATTGAAAGAACATTATAGAAACCCGCCTTTTAGCCCTTTAATTATTAATATTCGATGTATTTTATGATCGGTTTTGAATTGTTGGAACAACTGCGTCGCTTCCCATGAACGGCTGTTGCTTCGATAAAAAGGAAGTAATTATCTGCGAGTGAATCAGAGGCATGCGGTGTAGGATCAATCGGACGTATTTATGCGAAAAGGCGCTAAACGCCATTTCCAAACTTCTCAGTAAAGCAAGTTTGACTAAAACAATTGGCGTTTCCGTACTAATGGACCGATTTTGGTTTACTTTAGCTTGTTTGAAAGCTAAAGAGTTCCTCTAATTACGTTCGTTGCCAAAATTAGGAAAAAATGCATATTAAGCGAGATATAGGGGATTTTTGCACGTAGGTCCATTTGATTTAATGCGCTAACCCGGATTCCGAATTAAATCAAAAGGCGCTATCTCCACTTGAATCACTTGATTGACGCGCGCGCGGCGAAGCTTGGTGGAAACTTGGTGAAATT